GGGAACAGCGCGAAAAGCTCCGCGCACGGTGGTGTAACAGTGATCCAGAGTGTTCTCCTCTCTGGTCGGGCATTTGATAAACTGTCTGTATTTGGGTAATTCCTGGCTCAAGTTTCCCTTATTAAAGTCCCCATCAGATTACCATCTTTCAATTCACAAACCCAATAATGATGTCATAAAATCTGTTTGGTTCAATCACTAGTTTCATGTTTTGTACCTGTCACATTCAGTATTTAGTTCAACTTTTTACGGCTCTCAGCCAAAAGCATCAAATAGTGACTCACAGGACTCTTTCGTACAACAGTCTCAGTATTCTTTATTTTTGCTTTCATATTTTTTAATGCTGATATTTAACCACAGTTGAACCTGACAAAATCTCACACAACAAACAGACATAGTTAATCTTTTACTTGTTACCTATGTACAATGAGAAAATGTCCTGACAGAGACCGAGAAGAGAGCTCGGCCTCTCTTAAAACAGATCTGAAACTCTAACTCAAGTCTGTAGCTCCTTTCATACTAGAAGACACACCTTCACATGCGGATAGGAAAGGAAGAAGCAACAGAGCAAGGAACAAGACCTTCCTTATTAGCATGTTCAAAAGCCTGATTTAACAAACAGTATGAGTCCCCCCAGACTTCCTGAAGCCTTCCTTGAGCCAAAAGTGAATTACAATACAAGCTTTCTACAATATATTTTAGCCACATTATTAAAAATGATAACGACAAACAACATTCCAATGAGAATAATACTTACTAAATTCTGAGGATTACACTCACACACACACATGTCCAGTGAATGAAGGACTTTTATTTCTCACTACTGCAGTGTGTCTTGGTTCCTCTTTTTGAATTTTGTGTCAGAACTTTACATTTCAGTGCATGCTGGTGTTTGATCATATAATTTCATATCATTTAGTTGTAAAAGGAACATAAATTACACATATTTTTTCAATTTTTCCAACATTTCCATGATCATACATTATTAATATTTTACTGCCTCCTCTTTTACAAAACAGATGTAAATGGTTTTGCCACTGATCCCTCTGCCTTCATCATCAGTGTGTGTGTGTGTGTGTGTGTGTTTGTGGGTGTGTTTTACCCATCTCTACCTGAGTAATGGAAGATGTAGGACAAATGGTGAAGACAAAGTGGTTTGAATGTTAGTAAGGCAGGTATTGTTTTAGCCTCTGGTTCTATAATATTGAATCAAAGAAAAAGTTAGTTATTGCTTTTCCTGCTAAACTTTTAGAGCGAAGCTGGTGTTGCAAAAGTCATAGAAAGAGCCCTTCGTGATTGTCGTTACCTGCTGTGATGAGATATGCAGCCACTATGTTATGTTCCATTTGGGTGAAGGCACTTTTTCCTCCATAAGGCACAGCTTCGTCTGAAATATTGAGTGCTAAGTCCAACCCCATCTCTTCAAAAATTATTTCAAAAATAGATGAAAAATGCCTTAATAAAGGAGTGAGGAGAGCTGGTGATGTTGCTTCTAAAAGTATTGTGGTGGTATTAGAGTACAAGCAGATTACTACATACCACTGCCTGACTGCTCCCTTGTTGCCTCTTGCATTCGTTACGTGGGGCTATAAAGGATTAGCCCTCACGTGGAGTTACTGGGAGACCTCTGACAATAAGTGGGGTTTGATATTGCATAGAGAATTAGATTGATTTATTTCCATAAACAATTACAATGTAGAAATATAATTGTGATTGAGACTAAAAACAACAAAATATATAAAGGTGGTCTATGAGTGTTCTTTTTCCTCTGTTCTTCCAGCGCTTTTGCTGTGAGAAACAATTAAAAAACAAAACAAACATTAAATTGTCAAAACTCATGTTACTTGCATATTTAAAATTGATTACACTGTATTCTGCCTGGTTACAACTTATTTGAGAAAAAGACAAGATCATTATCCTCCATACAGTGTGTGAGGGAGTCAATAAACATATCAGAATGTCAGTGTCATTCACCAAACATAACTCAAAAGTGATGTAACTCAGTTACATTATTATAGACATAAATATTGTACACATATGTGTATATTTCCTTTAACTAGTAGTATATCAAAATATTACTAACTAACTGACTAATTTCATATGTATAGGCCTTCATGTCTCGCTTTGCTTCTAGTGTGGGACAAATATAGTTCCGCGTTTAAACAGCAGGGGGCGCCCCTCTGCTGCTGTGTCTATCATCTCTGCACTTCCGCCTCCAGTCACTTCACAGATCGTGAGCTACCAGCGTCCACACAAACCAAACATGCCCGGTGTTTTAAGGCTCCTCACCAGCCGTGTGGCCCCAGTCGTCCGCTCACAGACGGCCAACCTGGGCTCCAGGCCAGCTCAGGACAAGATCGGCGTGGTTGTAAGTTTATTACTTTGATGACTCTCTGAACTCTGTTGGCTGACGCTAGCAGTTAGCCGCTTAGCCCACTGTCCTTGGACGATGGGGTCATGTCGTAATTTCATAAGATGGAACAATAATTAATGAGCGATAAGTGTGAAGATAGGTCTTGAAAATAGATTAATATATACGAATCTCGTATGTTTTGTGATGTGCAGTCAGGCTGTAGCTGTTAGCTCGCACAGCAGCAGTAGGATCATCATTTAGGATCCCACCATTCAGATTAAAGATGTTAAAATATTCATATTTAATCAGTTTAAACGCATAATACCTGACAAAGAAGTGGAATTTCCCGCCTGTCTTCACAAACTGGATGTATTGTTTTATTTAGAAGGGGTATATTAAAGTCAGAATGACGTATCATTTATAAAACTCACGGGACACATTAAACATTCAGATACATCACCATGTTCGGGTCAGTCAACCTGCTTTGTACAATGCATTAATCCTCGCTCTTGTGTCTATTCCTAGGAAACCACTTTTGCTCTTGGTATGTTCTCCTTGGCAATCCTGGGACCATCTGGGTGGATCCTGGCCCATCTGGAGGACTACAGGAAGAAAGAGTAAAATGGACTGTTCGGAGCTTGGACCAAGTCGGTGCTGCTCCTGGGACCAGATTACACCCCTCTATACGAAACTCCTTTTATTGTGGACTTCATTCTCGTCACGCACAACTTGATACAGATGTTACATTGTGTTCAGTATAAAGTAAATTAACCTGCAGACCTCATCTTAAGCAGTTTGTAAAATAAAACATGTGAACTTTATCTGAATCTTATTAATGTGTAAAATGTTTCCCTCAAAAGGTCAAGAAGGATGGACCAAGGTACTTATGTTTTCATCAGCACTTACTTGCAACTGAAATGAGTATAGAACTAAAAGGTGTAGTCTAGTTCTAAATTTTTCAATGTTTTAAGACCGCTTGACATGCTTCTGCACTCTGCTTCACTTTCAAAGTACCAGCTATAATGTATCTTTGTAAAGTCCAACTTGAGGAAAAATTTACAAATCCATAGTAAATGCTGTCAGCTGTATAAAATTTAGATCTAGAAAATTTACTGGATTGAAAACTTAGATCCATTGATTTAAGCCCATTAAGGCCCTGTCCACACGAAGTCAAGCTCAGGCCTAAACGCAAAAATACTTTATCAATCCAGTGTATCGTCCATACGAGGCCGGCGTTTTGGGGGGGTGTAAACGAACATTTTTGAAACTAGGTCCCAGAGTGGAAAGATTTCAAAACTCCGTATATGCCGCTCCGTGGTTACTGCCTCTCCGCAATGTATCTGAGACGCTTGCGTCATCGCCCCGCCTCTTGTTAAAGCACGCATGCGCCGCACTCAGAAAATAATGACAACAATGTAGCTTGTTGGTTTTGTAATCCAGTGTGACCCGAAGCAACAGTTCAACCTCATCGTCCGTCCATACTAATGTAGTACCAGCTCGCCCACTCGCCATGTTGTCTGTTTACAAAATTCTGCGCATGCCCAGTTCCCGTCACGGAAGTTTGGGCTTGATCCCGTCATTGCGTCACAGCGCCACCAACAGGTCTGGCATAGTTTCACAGCGTTTTCAGGCGTATTGACTACATTCATATGGACGCACACATTTACTGAGCTAACTCCGTGTTTACAGAAAACGTTTCTGAAATTATAAGCGTTTTGTCTTCGTGTGGATATAGCCTAAGGTATGACTAAGATTTTATACAAACGTGTGCGCTTTCCTACTGTTCTATAACCTGTGATGCAACACAAATTTCCCCACTGTGGGACAAAGGACATAAATCCAGGTTCATAATTAAATTTGGATTGGTGCATTCATAAGGGACACCCAAAATTAATGCAAAATCTGAAATGGGCCCAACTAAAATGCATGAGTAATGCTTAGTTACTAGAACTTTAAGGATGAAAACAATAGTATGAAGTATACACTTTATTTTAACATGCAAAAATACTGAACGTAGTTTCATTAACAGCTTGGATCAGAAGGAGGGTTCATTAGAATAGTCCAGGCTGCAGGGATGAGGCTGGTGCGCAAACTGGAAACAAGATTAAAGACACATTAGACACTTTGCACTGATCCCTGTGGTAAAATGACATGTTATGTTAGTTGAGCTCAGTTCAAGTGTAGAAACCATCATGAAATGCACTTCTAGAGCACACTTCAGGATCAGAAAGTTTACATCATGGCTCAACATTCACACACACACCTCACATTCACACAGCTTTTCAAGCTTAATCACTGGCTCAAGACTAGCTCAAGCGCTCTTATTTGGCTACTCTTCATCACAGACTCACGTGTTTGCGTGAACCTCAGAAGGACAAGCGTTCGGTCACCGGTGAATAAGAATTTGGCTTCAGCTTTAGTTTCAAAGAAACATCTTCATTCTCCTTCCATCTACTAAATAATGAGTTAGATATTAAAAAACTTTATCTACATACTCAGCAATGGGAATTAGAGCAGACACTGCAGCTATACCCTCGATTATTTATGGCGAGATTGGGAGTTTAAGCCTTCCATAACCACTAGGAGTGACTCGATCCCGGAATGTCCTGATCTAGGGATCAAAATCTTGGCACACTACAGGGCCTCAGCTGCACAAAGGGCCTGGCGCTCTGTAATCGAAAGGATCCTAACAGATTTAGTTGAGTTAAGATGTATCTATTTTAGGTTTAAAAGAAAAAAGAATCGTTTTATAAGAATTCTAAAAACCATCAATTACCTCCACAACGAAGAGACGAACAGAGCTGCACTGCTAGCTCCAACCTCCCGCAAGCTAATGATGAAGCGAATTTTCTGCAAATAAACAATAAACCAGTTAAACATGTTACTGGATAGACATCTCTCGGATCACGTTTCGTGCTCGTGCAATCTTGCATTACCAATTCTAAGCATAAACGGAGATTAGTACACGCATTTAATGCTTACCGAGTGGAAACGTGGTTGTGCGTTAACTGCTTTCTTCTTCTTCTTCGGTGGAGCTTTATAGCAGATGGCATCCTCTGGGTGTAATTGCCGCCCCCTACTGTATGTTTTATGTGTCTGCACTCAATATATGTGGTAATGGAAAAGTTTATACAGTAAAATAATGCCAAAATACGCTTCACATGGCATTATTCTTTCATTTCAAACAAAGCGATAATGAAATAATTCTGTAGCCAGAGCTGTCCTGGAGCACACTGACAGAAGCGAGGCAGTCATGTGCCATCAGCCCCTCCAACCACCACCAACGATTCATGCACACACCAGAATCATTCTAGGCAATGACTCCCTTGAAAAAAAGGACACAGCGACATTTGCACTTACAGCCAGGGGGCTAAAAAAGGCCACTTATGTTGTATGTATAAATAATAATTAACAAGTTGTTTCCTCTTTTACTTCATTTTATTGTTGTCTTCCCCCAATCCTTAACACACTCCATTACATCATCATCTACGATACATCTGTGTGATCAGCAAACGAAATATTTTATTTACTCTTCTTACTGCTGTTTTTTACGATCCACTACCAATTTTTAAGATGCAGTGCCCCCTGTTGGACATAGCGCGTAACATACGTGCATAATGCGTCGATAACAACGTTCACTTTACCAATTTACAAAATGCTATTTATTTTGCGTAAGGTATATGTAAAACAAAGAATAATCCCGCTTTATTTCCTAATATTTCACCGTGATAATATAACCGAGCATTCATTTCACCTCCTGTCCAGTATTGTCACCGGAGCCTTAGGGAAGTTGTGCAGGGAATAAAAACAACGTAGTCATATGACAGTCGTGCTGGTTCATTCGTGCCAAACTTTCAACAACAATCCGGGTTTGGGCTAGTTTTAGAGGTAAGTTGACTGCTGTATAAGCCGCTACAGCCATTCAAACATTTCAAATAGAATGGAATAATTATTGTACATTGCTTGCTTGTTTATGTGGCATTAATTATTGCCCTTTATCCTAAAGAGATCATTTGCTCTCTTTTTAGGCTCATATAGAGTATTATTTATCATTTCCAGCGTGTAAATAATACATTACAGTTGGCATAGTTTTGCTTTGATACAGATTACAACATGAGGCTGGTCATTTTGGAAGACTATGCCCTGGCTAGTGAATGGGCAGCTAAATACATCCGAAACAGAATCATCCAGTTCCAGCCCACTGCAGAGAAGTTCTTCACTTTAGGTCTGCCAACAGGTGAGTGGCTTTCTCTGTAATTATCTTTTTTATTTAACCAGGACAATCCCATTAAGATTGAAAGATCTGTCTTTTTTGAGTAATCATGTCAAATGTCTTGTTTCCCTTTTTATTCTCTGTGCATCTTCAGGAAGCACCCCATTTGGCTCTTACCAGAAGCTGATCGAATACCATAAACAAGGCGATATTTCCTTCAAGTATGTGAAGACCTTCAACATGGATGAATATGTTGGTAAGTCCACAGCTGACTGTATGGATATATATTCACCTTTGTACCTTACTATAGTCAATACATTTATCCGATAGCTGATGCGTTTTGCAACTACCGTTATTAATTCACATTTCAGTGTTTTCATACCTCAGTTGATGCATAATGGTCTCTGCTGCATTTAGTTTTAGAGATTAAAAGCTTTTAGAGCAGGACAACTCATTTAAGAAGTAAACATTAATGTAATAAGTAGTTGCTTGTAAGTGATACTTTGACCGTAACTTCTGGGCTGGGGTCCCAGTTACTTACAGGCAGAGGAAATTACGTTAACATGCAGAACCCACAGGAATACTGCTTCTTACCTCCAGCTCAGAGAACATGTGCATGTTTATTTTCTCTGCAGGCCTACCTCGTGCACACCCAGAGAGCTACCATTCTTATATGTGGAATAACTTCTTCAAACACATCGATATAGATCCAGCCAACGCCCACATTCTGGATGGAAACGCTGAGGACTTGGAGGCAGAATGTCAAGCCTTTGAGAAGGAAATTTCCAAAGCAGGAGGAATTGAGCTTTTCGTTGGAGGTTAGTAAAATGTGCAATCGTGGTTTTAACAAGTGTGTGTTTTAATAGAATACTCCAGTCATGCTTTGTCCTTTCTCTTTGGTCCTGAAGGTATTGGTCCTGATGGACACATAGCATTCAATGAGCCAGGCTCCAGTCTCGTCTCTAGAACTAGAGTGAAGACTCTGGCTAAGGACACTATTGTTGCAAATGCACGCTTCTTTGGCAATGACCTCTCCAAGGTGCCTACGATGGCTCTGACAGTTGGTGTTGGGACTGTTATGGACGCTAAAGAGGCAAGTCAAATACTGACAAACTCAATTTCATAACCGGAAGGGAGCAAGGGGCTTTACCCACACACCATGAATCAGTTAAACTGTTTTAAGTAGTAACTTTGCTCCTGTTTGTTCAGGTGATGATTCTGATCACAGGAGCTCACAAAGCCTTTGCGCTGTATAAAGCCATAGAAGAAGGGGTGAACCACATGTGGACAGTGTCAGCCTTCCAGCAACACCCTCACACCATCTTTGTCTGCGATGAGGACGCCACCTTGGAGCTACGAGTGAAAACTGTTAAATACTTTAAAGGTACTACAAGCCTTTTATTCATATTCCTACAATATCACATATATACAGTAGTATTACTTTTGAGTCCTCATAATGTTTGTAAGATTTGATTCCTTTTATTTGGATGTACATGTATTTTAACAGAAAGCAGCATTTTAAAGGACCTTTCTATTCAAATAATTTTGCTTGAAGTTGTCAGTTAGAACGGTAACGGCCCTCATTATTCGAGTTGAGCTGATGATTGAGGTGCTTGCTCAATCAGATAAGAGTTGTGAATAGCATTTAATAAAACGGAACTCAAATCTGGACACAAAGAACTGATCGTTTAACTTGTTCCCTGGCACATAGAAGCAGCATAAAAACCCAAAAACATTTCTAAATGTATATTACTAGTGTAACCTGAATATCCTTGTTTTTTGTGTTTCTTCATGTAGGTCTCATGCATGTCCACAACAGACTGGTGGACCCTGTGCTGAGCATAAAGCAGCAGTAATTTCCAGATCCATGTGAGCCCACGTTTTGTACCACGTCGAGCAGCACTTTACTTCTTCAGTACACTATTTTCAATAGTTACTGTCATCATGAGCGATTCTTACTTATTTTGTTACATTGATATTTGTTGTAATATGGCATTGTTTACTTAAAGAATATTTCACGTTCTTTGGAGGTTTTTCTGGAATATATCTAGAATACAATTTCTAAGGATTTAACACTCCTCTTAAAATTATCTATTTTAATAATGGCCATGATTGCCTTTTAATTATACCAAAATTTACAAACGTTTGAGTTTAAGCGAGGCCATTGTGTCGCTGACCTGAAGTAAGTTGAGCATTCCACTCCATTATGGCCATTTTCGTTGCTTTTGCATACTTTGAATTTTGTATGGGGAATAAATGTACACTTTGCTAAACATCTCTTGTGCAGTATTCAGTCATTTTGATCACTTTTGAATGAAATCTCTACCACAAAATAAAGCCATGTCTTTTTTCTTTTTCAAAATGGTTTCTTCAATAGCTCTGTTTTCAGTGATCAATAATTTCAAGCATTTTAGTTACTATGACAACAAACATTCCCCACGGGCCCTGCCCATGGATGGACTGACTGTCTGACTCCAGAAAAGGTAAATGAGGAAGAAAAACAGTTTTAGTCTTTGCTTTAACATAACATCAAACCAAATAATTTGTTCGGTAAAAACCCGACTGTTTTAAGCTTTGGAGAGGCTTTTTTTATTTCACAACAGTTATCCTCGGTCACATCATTCATCCTCGGACCACCATTCATAAAATAACGCTACATGTTTTTTTTTTTTTTTTTTTTTTTACACATTTCCATTTCGTTAAAAGTATTTGTAGTGTATTTTTGCGTTTTCCAATTTAAATTTAACAAATCATACAAAAACGTTATTATAGATCCATGTACAAAAAGCAGTTAATGATTCTGCTTTGTTTTGTTTCCGCCCTGTTGCTTGCCGGCGGGCGCTGATTGGTCAGTCTGACTCCGCTGGAACTTCCTTCCCACGTGGTGTGCATCCAAATTCCCGCCCGCAGTTGTTTTTCTTTCTGTATCTCCTTCCACAGATCTCTGGTAGACTTCGGCTCAGAGGAGCTTGTCCCACCACGACCATGGCTGCAAAGGACCAAACCCAAAACACAGAAGAGGAATTCATGGATGAGGAGACTATGGCCGAAGCGATGAGTGTTTTGGCTGGAAGCGACGCCGAAAACTGCTCTTATCCCCAGGTAAGAGACGCTAAGCTAGCTATTGTGTGATGCTCAGCTGGTTTACCCTGTTTAATGATTGCTTTTTAATGTAATTACACTGACGCAGTAATAATTGCATTTAGCATTGTGCAAGAATACGTTTTAATTGTCTTGAAGCCTTCATATTAGGCGTTGTTTTGTGATGTAGTCAATGGCGAGAGGCGTATCGTTGTAAATACATGTTTTTCCAGGGCTATGTAAAACGACAGGCAGTATTTGCATGTAGCACTTGCACCTCTGAGCCCAATGAGCCTGCTGGAGTTTGCCTGGCCTGTGCCAACAAATGCCACGACGGCCACGACATCATCGAATTGTATACAAAGAGGTAACTGTCAAATAACCGATCGATCGTCAATCTGTTAGTCGACTATATCCTTTATTGGAATTGGATTGTTTCTTGCTGCCCTTTTTCTGACTGTCGTGTTTCATAAGTTTTGTTTCAACACGGACCCGTCTCGTTCTAGAACCCCCAAGTACACCCCCTTTCTTCTTCTTCTTTTGAACCAAGCCTGAATTAGAATCTTCTGAATGGTGCTGTTCTCACACGTCACCAAATAATGAAAGTGGTTTAACTGAGAGATGTAACCTTTGTAGGGGAATGCTCATTTCTGTTTCCACTTTGATATTCTTTTCCCCAATAAAAACAAAACAAATGGCATTTTCAAGGACCATTACTGTAATAAACTGTTAACGACAGCAGTAAATCCAGTTTCTATTTCACATCCACAAGACCCCCACAGTTCTCTTCAAATGAAGCCCAAGATGAGCTGTACCACGGCTATAACAGAAATATTATTCCATACCGTCTGTGTCCCAAATTATACCGCAATATGAATTTTAGGCCATATCGCCCACCCCTACATACTCCTTTACAGTAAAGTTATTTTATATCGTTATTTTATAGTCTAAAATTATGTGGTTGTCCTCGCTATAAAATGTAAGTACAACAGGCCAGAGGTTAAAGCTGACATTTAAAAAAAACAAACATCGGCTGACCAATATATTATTATTATTATTATTATTAGTTTATTTGATATGGACATATCAACTGCATTGGACAAACCAGATACATTGTTTCCAGTGTTATAGCAAAACTGCTAATTTGCAACACCTGTCCATAGGAGGCTACACCTATATGGGTGTGTTCACAGTGAAGACTCAATTATGGTATCTGGAAAAACAAAATGTACTATCATAGATTGGGAAAAGGATTTCAAACACAGACGTATAAAAAAGATAGTGTGGAAAAAATCAAAAGGAAAGATCGACAAATACATTTTTGGCGACATTTTAAACAACCAGATCAGCCTGTCAACTGTGATGCCTACATCGAAAATAAAAGTTAGTCAGTGACAAAGCGGCTGATGAACTCCCACAAGATTAACATGGCTAACACATAAGTCACTTAAAAAAAATCATTAAAATTTAAATGACCCTTGAAAAATGTGTCTTGAATTGGTGTACCTCATGAAAGTAAATACTTTGTTTCAACTTTATGTAAAAAAAAGAAATCTCAATCAATAAGGGACATCTGAAAATATGTAGCAAACTTCGGCATAACTCAGATAAACAGAGCCACTATAGGAAACTTGACTGAAGTATAAAAGGCGTTTGGATAAATGAAAAACATAATAAATCTTCTTTTGTACCCTTTAGTGTGAACAAGCCCAAATCATTTAACTTAAACTCTTAATCACTGCTCAATTTATCCTTATATTTTGAGTTTGTACAGTTTCACATTTGCATAAAAGGAATTCCTCTGAGCCCAGTTTGATTCCAAAATCATATTTGGTCGACTAGAGGATCGACTGATGTTAGTTAATCACTTCTTACGTTAATTCATATGTGAGATTTACATGAGGTTTTCCTTTTGCAAACAGAAACTTTCGCTGCGATTGTGGGAATAGAAAGTTCGGAGAGTTTAAGTGCCAGTTAATTCCGGTGAGTTTTGTTTTGTGATCACTTTTCCTTTATGTTAAACCCATTTCACCCCGGTCTTTCACCCAACAGTCCAAAGATCCAGAGAATGTAAATAATAAATACAGCCACAACTATTATGGCCTCTATTGCACATGTGACAAAGGGTACCCAGACGAAGAGGGTCAGGTATTTGTCCATTATTATTTATTATTATTATTATTGACTGATTTAATAAGTTATATTAATTTTCTATTTAACTTGTTTTTCCCCGCAGAATGGCGATGAGATGATTGAGTGTGTCATATGTGAAGACTGGTATCATCCACAGGTGAGCAAAGTTGTGTTACCCTTTGTTTGTGGATAAGTCTCATGTTATAATCACACTTGGATTTAAACTATTTTTCTCCCCAAACAGCATTTAGGTTGCACTGTGGCTGAACCCAAAGAGCTGGAGGAGATGGTCTGCGAGCGGTGCATGAATAAAGCTCCTTTCTTATGGACCTATGCAGAATCCTTCTCCCGTATGTGTTCAATAATTTTTTTTATAGAAGAAATGAGACTTCAAATGCAAGGGAAATTGCATCTTCTTTTGTTCAGTGGCTGCTATAGGAAGTCAGGAAGACGAAGACGTGGATGTGGAAGATGACAAGACAGAAGCCTCGGCCTCCCCTTCAACCAGCCAGACAAATGTGCCACGAGAGGTATGATTGTATGATGTTTTAAAAGGGACAATAGTGTGGTTATGCATTCACTCTGCACAGCAAGATCAGATTTGGTAGCATTAGCCTATATAGATAATCAGCATTTTGTAAAGTACTTCCTTTATCTAGCACCAGATGGCGTTGCAGGGTAATCTGTGGGCTACATTGAGACCTGTCTATTCACTTCAGAGCAATTCCAGGCTGAATGAGCCGTGCGTCATGCCTCTGCTCTGTGGACAGCTCTGGCCAGGTTTCACAGAGCGGCTCACTGTAAAACTGGCTTCCCCTCAAAGTCTGCCATCGTTCACGGTCCTCGCCGTTTTCTTTCTGCTTGTGGTTTCATGTTTAGGTCACAGAAAGTCCTAGTTCTACGAGGAAACGCAAGCGAGAGGATGAGGCGGATGTTTGCTCTACATCTCGCTGCAGACTTCAGGAGCTGGAGAGCCGGGCAGCGCAGAGGCAGAGGGAGGGAGCAGTCTTCTGGCCTTCTGACTGGCGCTCACAGCTCTGCACCTGCACCAGCTGCAAGGTAGTGTTAAAAGTCTCTCCCATTCGTGAAACACCACTGTAGAAGCGGCAAATATGGTCTACACTGAATGTACAGTTAATATTATTCCTCCAGTTTATTGAAATTGTATGCAAACACTTTAAATCAAGTTTGTTTTTTTGTGATTTAACTCTTACCTTGGGGGCAGAGGGCTTATGTATCTGCGCAGGTGCATTTTCTCCTGGACCCCTCAGACACACGGGCAGCGTATGAGAGGAAGGGTTTGGAGGAGCCTTTCGGAAGATCTGTGCTCTCCACCTTAATGGGATCAATGAGCCACACTGCACAGCTGGAGATCCTGTATGGTGAGAGGAATCACTCCTCTAAACCTGAGCATCATACAGTGGACTTTGAGGGACAGAGATTTTTAATATAGCGTAAATCTTTTTTTACAGCACATATGCAGGCCCAGGGCCAACCCTGTTAGAGCTTTGTTTTCACATCAGAAAATTTGTTTGCTTTGTCTTTTCAGCTCAAATGTCACTGGGCACATTTGTGTGATCCCTGGTGTTGACTGTATCACACTTGTGTTCTAATTGTATGTTGTAACTAAATAACAAAGGCCAATTGTTAATTTAAAAAAAACCTTGTTTAATTATTTTGGTTAAAACTACATAAAACTTGGTGGACTTTAATGGAAAGTACTCAAAGCTGCTGCTAGACTGAATCAAGTTAATAGAATTAACAAAATATTAGATAATAAAATGTTTCAAGAAATTATATAAAGAGCCCTTAAAAGTGTGTTTGTCAGTCCAGGAACAACACAGAATTATCTGTAGAAACTAAATCTTAACTTTCTCCAATTAGGGTTCCAGGAGATGCAGTCAGCAGTGGCATCTTTTCTGCAGCCGTATGCTAGCAGTGGAAAGGTGAGCTAAGCAGATCTTTTCTTCTCTATTCTCTGGACTAAAACAGCGTATGGTTTGACAGGAGGTCACGGCGGAGGCAATAAGACAGTGCTTTGAAGAACTAACGGAGAAAAGACGTAGAGCCAATGAGAAAAAATGACACGCTGCAGCTACATGAATGACTCGTCATGTTCATCTTTCAATAAAGAGAACTTTACAAAACGGCTCCTGAGTCACTGTCGACCATCGATGAACTGGAATGTTACAAAAGCCACAAAGATTACATATCAAACCAGTTTATTTTTTATGATGCCGGGTTGACCACTGTATTGCACCCCTTGAGGTGACAGTAGAAAAATAGATTCAGTGAAACGCAACAGAACTTAATATCAGTCTACAAACATGTTTTAGAATTCAACAAATAATCCCACATTTGAAATTGAAAAGGTGCTAAACACTATATACACAAACAAGCTACATGAGATCAAAGTGATGCAGGCTGGTTAGCTGGTAGAAAAGAGCTTGCATAGACATAAGTCACTTCTCCAATAAAGCCCAGCTGCAGGCAGGGAAGGCACTGACTTCTCCAACAGCAAAAGAGCAAAACTTACTTTTTTCAATGGAACATTGTCCTGGAAAATAAGACTAACCAACATGAACAAGGAGGAATCTGGACCGTTGCATTTTTTCCTCATGAAGCAAGATGGAAAATAAGGTTTGTTATTGGCAATCATTAAAGCAGAAGGCTAATCTGCAGATCACCCACAGTCCTGTACTACAGTTACTGTCAAAGAGGAGAAAAAAAAAAACACCTTTTACAAAATGACCAACAACAATATTGAATTGCCTTAAATGCATAAAAACAATAGCTTCTTCAATTGTTACACCATAATCCACACATTCTTGGTGAGTTCATGACACGTACACAGTGTTGTCCACTACAGTAAAAATTACAACCTTGAAACATCCACTAAAATGTGACAGAAGCAATTGAACTCAGGGACTCTAGTCCTTATATACAAATTCATTGGGCTGGAGCCAGCTTTTTTTTCTTTTTTTGACAATTAAATTTCATATTCTTTTTTGTAAACCATACCCCCCCTCCCCCTGACTACATGTGAGGCTCCCACAGTGCAATGATTGTGTGAGGTGGTGCACCAGCTACAGGAGGTGACGAGCTCCGACTGAACTCTGGACTGAGCTACTATGTAATAACAGTATCAACATTGACATAATCTGTGCTCTCAATAGTCAACAGAACAGTCAAAGTGATTATACTAGTATGACATCATACTTGGCTGAATAAAGGTTTGCTAAAACTGGTACTCAACACACCAGTTCAAAGGCTATAGATTGCAGTATTAGAACTAAATGGGAGCGAAAGGTCTTGAACAAGCGTATATCCAAAGACACTAGGCTCTTGATATGTCCACAAAGACCTGACTAAAATGACTGAACGCAGCACTGATTGTCCAACACCGGTATCCAAGTAATCCACAGATAGGGTTGCAAAAACGCTTCAAAAGTAAAGGGTCTCTAAATATGCTTAGCTATCTGCTACATGATCAGTACATTTAGTAAACTGGACCAAAAAGACGGGCATTATGTCGGTTTATACATTCTCTAGCTCAGTTCTCAAACCATCCTAAATTTGATCACAATTTATAAGCAATTTTTGAGTAGTGGTGGGTCAATTCCAAATGCATGAGAAAATATATTAAAGGAATTCCATTTTTGTTGTGGTCTCCAATTCATCACTTTTTGCAACCCCATCCTCACGTAATCCTGCATTCCGCTGATGCTAAAATAAGCAGACAGGCCTCCATATTGAAGAATCTGCATCTGCAATAAAGCCCTGAATGTATAATGAACCCACTTCTTCCCGTCAACTTCAAGAGATGACCGCGACACGGAACGGCTGTGATCGTTCCAATCCGACACAATTATCCCACGATCAGTGGTGATGACCTACTTCCTGTAAAATCCAATGCTATTGTGAGGCCAGGATAGCTCCACGTCGAGGCTGCAGAGCTACCGGCAGAAGCTGTAAACTGGTGGGAATCTAAAAGGCCTGCTACAAGAAGAAAACAAACGCATGAGGGAAGCCATATTAGTGTCAAACCCATGTGCCGTTGTCTGCGGGTGTAAACTGAGCATTCTGCTGAAGAGTAATCCATTTGTATTGAACTCTGAACAGGGGTGACTTAGCACTGGGCGCCTCTCCCCGACCCCTCCATTTGTTAGCCGGCCTCCAAAGCACAGGCCGAGGAGGTTTAGAGATCGATAAGAAGCATTGACTTAACCTGCAGCGTTCTATAGCGACGTGTGATGGAGAGCACAGTGTGACAGAGGTAGGACAAAAGGACAAACTAGAAATAGCTACCATCATCCCCCTTCCCCCAGCAGCTCCTCTCAAAAACACACATTCACACAACATTTAGTGCTTTGCCATCCACCAGGATAGACAGCATTAGGTTTCCCTTTTCCAATCTCAACCCCGGCTCCTCCAAGGGTTAAAGTGCTGATTTCTTATAAGGATATTCAGGTTTGTTGGGAGAGCGGCGGTCAGAGTGCTCCGTCACACTGTTCCTGTGGTTCTGGGGGACAGGGGAGGGGCCTGACTGTTCGGCCCCCAAAACCATCTCCTCGGCCGGCTCTCTGGCCCCTGTGTGCCTGTCCTCATAACTGTCCACATTTCCACTAGGGGAGCGCAGATGACCTAAGCCATGGGTCAAGTCTGTTTCATTTGATCTCCCCCTTTGGACATGTCCCATCCTAGACTGGGCCCCAGAAGGGCTGGCGAGGACAGGCTCGTGTCTCTGTGAGGTCATCCCCAGCACATCCAACCGCAGCGGGTCAGGGACACTTCGCCCCTGGGAGTGGGAGTGGGCCTGAGAGTCACAAATGTAAGAGGGCTGGTAGGTGCCAGAGGTGCAGCTGTGGCTGTAAAGATCAGGCCCTGGGAAAGGCGGGCGAGGGTGACCAGAGGTGGGGGTGGCAGGGCGGCAGGAGAAGTCATACAGATCTGGAAACTCTGCCTGAGCCTCCAACTTGGGCTCAGGGGCATGTCTTTTACAGGAGTGACCGTGTCCAGGGCCGTGGCTGTGACTGAGGCGAGCTGAGGGGCAGGGGCCATGGGACAGGTGGAGGCTTGTGGGGGCCATAGGACTGTGAGGCCCCTCTCTGTCCATGTCCATGTGCTGCTCCCTCAGAGAGAGCACCGACACTCCCAGAGCAATGTCAGGCATGAACTCTCTCATCAGCGGCTCCACGTTCAGCTGCAGCAACACAAAACACAACATCATGTTACACACGAGTCAAAGCGTCACAAACACATGTGCTGTTACACTCACCGCCTGCTGGTCCAGCAGCGCTCGCCCCATGGCCTGGGGGTTGGTGCAGTCTGGGGGCTGGGGTCTGGGCACAGACGCGTACTCGGAGCTGCCGTGTTTTGAGGACACATGTCTCTGGATGAGGGTGCGGTTACAGGGGTAGGAGAAGGAGCGGGTGGGTGTGGGCATGGGCACCCGAGGCCTCCAGGCCCCTTTAATCTGGGAATGACTGGGGGTGGCAGGAGGGTGGTACGGGGGAGGCGGTGGAGGGAGGGGAGGGTGGAAGCCTCCCACTCCTTCCATATCTGTGAACATGCTGTCCATCGCCGGGCTGCTGTTCACACGACAGCGACCCACCTGTCGCAAGGCCAGAATCGGACTCTCGTCTCCAAATCGTTCATCGGGAAAGAACTTGTAGGGGTTCTAGAATACAAACAGACAACTTAAAATCTAACATTGTAGGTTTAATTAAAAAAGAAACAATCTATTGATGCCTATGCCATGGTGCTTTTCCAGGACAAGTATTTGTCTGACCTCCAGCCACATCTCCTCTTATGCTCTGGTCTTACCTGGAGCAGCTCCGTGGCACCGTCTGCCAGCCCAAACTCTCTGAGCACTCTGAGCTGCAGCTCGTAGCTCACAGTGGCGCCCTCACCGCAGTTCAGGGCGTAGGCTCTCTGCACTTGCTCCGTGTGCCTCAGCTCCTGCAGCCGGCGGATCATGTCCTTCACCACGGACAGCTGAGGCACTGCAACAGCCGAGCAGACAACAATTTATTTGTGCACAATTTATAGAAAGAACATCCAGACAAAACCAGCTGGGATTTACCTGGAATTTCATTGGCTACGACAGACGGAGCGGAGGAAGAGTTGCTGGTCATTTGCTGGTGGTTGATCATGTGGCAGCACTGGGGGACTGCGTTGTTGACCATGTACAGGGTGTCGGGGACATTAGACATTCGCACAAGCCTCAAGCGGACCAGGTCTGTCTGCTCCACCATCATCTCATCCAGAACAGTCTGCAAACAGGGAAACTGGAACTTAGGAAACTTCCACAGTATAGGAAGAACTCAAGGACACTCTAAACTCCACAAATGAGCTGCACTTGACAATTCAACCAATAACGGCTCTCCAGAGTCTGTGCTCAGGAGGATTCGTGACCAGGAATGTGATGAAAGCTAGGGATTCATGATTTTCTGATTAACAATGTGATTTACGATATTTAAAAAAAGCAGGTGTTAAATGTAAAACATTTAACATTCAAACTATGGTCACTCCGAGGGCGAGGCGCTGCTGCGGACCTGAGCTGAGGACAGTTAGGATGTATGGTTTTGAAAAGTGCGTATATGTTGACGTGTTTGTGTACCTATAGTCGCAGCAGTATTTGTATTAGTAGCAGCAGCAATATTAGTTACACATGCACACACGTGTTTGAAAATATTGTTTTATTGTTGTGAAGGTTTCCAGTGGAAGTTGGAACAAGCAAAATAGCAGAAGAAAAATGCGTAAAATAAGGCATAAGATACAAAAAACTAGTAATGTTTTCCTTCATTTTAAACTAACTCTTCTCGTCTTGTGCATGCAGTTTCTTGGTTTGTGAAGGACATAAACAAGAGCTGACTTTGCGATTTGCTTCCACTAAAATTGTGATTCGACTGCGATTAATCGTGCAGCCCTAAAGCGTGTGTATGGGTGGAATTGGCATCACATGGTTTACATGAATAGCTCTGTTATAGTTTTCAAAGTGCATTCTGAAGACGCCCATAAAAGAACATAACGTAAACAGCACTTCCTGGGAGGCATTGATCCGGTGGTAATGGGCCGTACCTTTGCCTCTTCAACATAAGGGGAGAACAGTCGCGGGCGCAAGTAGATGCCAGCGTTCTTCTGCCTCAGCCAGGCGTTGGCTTTGCCCCCTTCAGCCGTGGGCAGCATGTCCAGAGGAGGAGTGCTTATCAAGCCGCGCTTGAGCTGTGAACAGGCCGAGAATGTGGATCAATACACCATTTATGACGCTCACAAAGACCCCGCTGGACTTTAATCAGCTCGGAACGGCTGAGGAGACAGCGGTCGATAAATACTGACCGCGTCTGCGAGCACGTCGCTGTTCGGGGGCAGGATGTGCTCCGTCCGGATGAACGGCAGGAGGGGGGACAGGATCTCCCGCAGCTCCTCCACATCCAGGTCCCTCCTCTTCACGCCCCTCTTGTTCACACTGTGCGCAGTGCCACTCAGCAGATTGGGCTCTGCAAAGACACAGCCATTATCAAAGATCTTTCAATGACTTAGTACAGTCTGAGGCCTATTGCAAGTTCACAGCAGTGGAATTAAAACTGCAGCTATCGATAATTGTAGTAATTACAGTCCTCATTTGAATGAAATTTGGATTGGAAACATGCCAACAACTGATTCATATTCAGCGAGTGTGTAACATCACAGGTCCAACAGCTTTCAGTTCCAACGCTATTGCAACTGGGATGGTTTCCCTGAAGTGGACATGTTCTAATGTTTGATTTATTGATGTTGGAAACAAAACTTAAACACAGACAACATACTTTTTAGTTAAGCTTAGAGCTGCAGCCATAGATTTTAGTACTTGATTATCATCTTTGATAAATCAAGTAATTTATTAACTATTTTACATTTACCTGCCTATTGTAAATTAAATTTAGAAACAAATTTAAAAAAACAAAATGTTGTCTATGTTGGCTCCAGGCAGAACCAGGTATCACCGACAAGTTCTGTGCAGTTGCGCAAGAGGTTTAAATATTTGAAAACAAAAATCCGATTAACAAAGCAAAGGAAATGTTGATTCGATAAACCGTTTAGGCCTTTATTGTTATTGAAAGATTGGAAAAAAAAGAAAAATGTCCTTAGTTTTGACCGTGACCACGTTGTTTGATGTTCTAATCTGCTATTGGCAAATGCACAATTTTGTGAAGTCCTCAAGAGATGACAGCTGTTCTGATGTTGGGCTGTGTATAAATTAATTGATTTAGAATTATTAAACCTTTTTATCAGTAATTATTGGCCTCACACAGTAAAGTTTGGAAACTTCTGTTGAGCCCTTTGCAGAAGACTTGTCACATTTGGCCTGTGCAATAGCGGGTGGTGCATCAGCGGGTGGTGCAATAACGGCTGTAGCTATGAGGGTAATCACACACTGCGTTCTCTTACCTCGGTCTGCCATCCTCTTTATAAGCTGCTGCTCGCCCCACTTCACCACATACTTGAGGATGTCCTGCTCACTCGCCTGTGGACAAACCCAGAACAACTCAACAACTGCACAGACAGACGACAGACGAGGCTCCCCTTACCTGCAGGTAGTCCGACTGGATGGCGGACAGAAGGTGCTCCTTGCCCAGCTCGTACAGGACGTCCGAGGAGACCACCTGGCTGAACTCTTCACAGAGGAAGTGCATGGCCTGACGGTGGACCCACTTGGACCCGTACGGCTGCGAGCTCCACTTGAGGATGGGCACCAGCGAGTCCAGGGATAGGCTCTCCACGATGATGTCCTCGCAGCCTGGAACAGTGAGGAGAGGGAGACGAATGAGCATCAAGCATGTGCATCACGCTTGATGTCATCAGTACAGAGTACAGTACAGTACAGAACAGAGCATAAACAATGCCTTCTTTGTATAAATGCAATTTAACACACTGTCCAGTCTAGGTTTACTTTTTATAAAAAAGTATTGGTTTCTCCAAAACCAATATTTTTGCTCATCTTTAGCCCCTTTTTGCTTGCAAAGAATTTAAAATAGCTGTCCTTGCGATATGCTAATTGCGACCACAAAAAGTGCAATTTCCAAACACATTTCTCCTATGGGCCGCATGAAGGACCCTCGAGGGGTCTCTCTGGTGGCCCCACATCCTCAGCACATTTCCTCAGCGCATACCAAAGCAGCAGGCAGTGGTTTCACTTTGGAACACGTGGAGGTATCAAAGGCATTTCTGTGGGCTGCCGTGACTCAAGCGGACTCCTCTTAACTGTGAGAAGCAAACAGAGCAGCCACACACACACTCCAGAATCTATTCACAAGACTCCGGGGGACGACAAACCTGCATTTAAAACCATTTGGTAAAAAAAAGGACAAAAAAGTGCTCAAAAACTTAACAACTTAACTTAACAATTAACAACAAACACAACACGCCTACACTCTGGACTCTGATGGGACTAAGATAATCATGGATTACCTTCAGATTCAAAATCTGAGAAAACTGCAGAGAAATGTTCGGTCACATTTAACAGTTTTCTTGCTTGATTTTAAATAAGTAAATACAGACCCAACAACTGCATGCAACATTAAAGAGTGACTAAACACCTGTGCCCAGCCTTACTCCGCCCACATGAAGATTTGAAAATGTTCTCTAAAAAGGGCGTTGCCTGGAGGACCAAGGGACAAGAAGGGGGGCTTAGAGTTGGGCGTGGTCTGGGCTGTGATTGACAGCTCACTTGTCACACACAAAAAAAAAACAGACAGTTGTCATTGCTGCTTAAAGCAATAGTTTACAGACCAGAAAGTCTCATTCCACCCTTGTTTACACACTAAGATAATTGTAAAGCTACACATCTGAACCTAATCACACTCAATAATCTCAGAATGACTCATGTAATTTAATTTTAATCCACTAGATGGCGCCAGAATACCCCAAACTGCAGCTGGGGCGTGTGTGAGAGTTGAATGGGTTTATATCACTGGCTCTGACAGACTGACGTCACACAAAACAACTGATGTCATAGAGAACTTCAGAGTCAATGGAGAGGCCAGAACCAAATTCAAATGTAGTACCACCAAAAAGATTGAGAGGGCACCACACAGCGTTTTTTGGCTCAAAAGTGATATTTTATCTCATTTGAACTAAAATGTCAAAAAAATGACAAGGATATGTAGACAGCACTACAATAAACATACTTATGCAGTTTATGAGTTAAAAAAAGTTGATTTGGTGTTTAGTCGCTCTTTAAGCTCCAGATGTGAGCCCACTGTTCAGATACAGTAAATAACAGTACATTACATGACACCCTGGTGCAAGCTAGTTTAACAAATGCTAATGAAAGTTGGTGTATTGTCATCTTGTTATTTTCCTCCTCTGTTTTGAATAGTGTTTTGTTTGATTTTCTAATCTGCTATTGGCAAATCACCAATGTTATGAAGTCCATAAAGACAAGGCTGTTCTAAAGAACGATTACTAAAACTTTATTAAGTTTGTCGGGTCTGCATTTTGCTGGGGTCCCTTCTGGCACCTGAGATGTTCTCCGACATATCTGTGGAGCGGAGAGCCGACCCGGAAAAAACATTTACAGATTTTGAGCAAATAGAATTAATACCTCTACGGCAAGAGATAAACAAGACAAGGAAACAAACAATAGTACCGATAGAGAGTAACAATAGAAGCGCTTTACTTCCAATTGTTTGCTTAAAGCTGGGGTACCTAACTTTTTTGTGTCATACTGTAAATAGTAAATGTTTGTCCCAACATGAAGAGTATTGTAAAAGTAAACTTCTACGTTGTATTCATCTTTTTTCATCTTTCTTGTACATACTTGCAAAACAAAGTTTTTTTTTTTTTTTACAAGTGTGAGTGAGGGTGGCGCTTATTCATCCTCTAAAAAAAAAAGTTGATCCAAAAATTTGACAGAGACCATAAGAATACATGCATGTGAAAACTAGCGATAGCAAAACTGTTTTGAAAGCTCGTCAGGTGGATTTTATGACGTGGCTCAATTTTTTGTGGTTTGAAAGTCTGGTATAGTCCATCCTTTGCTCTCATTAATATTGCATTTGCATTTCAGTAGAAAAAAAACACGTCTCTCAAATGCAGTGCTTTTAATATGAGCAGAAGATGGGAATCAGCCTTAAACATCTAATGGCCCGTCTCAGCGCGGGTGCCGAGGGAGTGACAGGAATATTAACTGCGCTGACAGCCGGGCGAGATGCTAACCGAGATGACATTTGAATTCAGCGGAGCCGTTTGTTTAGTAACGAGGCTCTGAAGTCACTTTGAATGTGTATAACTTTTGGGGCGTCGATCGTGTGTAGACTGTTCAAAGTCAAAGTCTATAAATCGTTCAAATGCAAAACTGAGCAAATTATTTGATGTGAAAATGCAGACGTGCCGTTGGACTCTGCTCATGGGTTGATTTGGCTCATTATAAAACTTTTCTCTCTGTCAACAATGGAATAAATCGGCCCCTCGGTCACTTCATCAATGGCGCCTTACTGTTTCAATGGGAATACAAGAATTCGTATGGACAAAAAAAATCTGGCGCAATTAGAAGAGACAGAATTTTTTGTATGCTATTTATTTTAAAAGTAAATTGTTGAATGTGTGCATTGTTAGGACATTGGGCAAAAATACCAGTACCAAAACCAGTATCTAGTATCTATTTTAACTGCTTTGGTGCCAACGTCACACAGCATTGCAACTTGATTACCAGCTCCACTACTTTCTAATTTATTGACCATCTTAAAATAGCCTATAATCCAGGTTGTCTACCACGCCGTATTTGAAATGGGTTTGAAAAGGTCTTCCATATTAGTTGCCATAGGAGTGAGATGAGGTAATAACTGCAGACATGTCTTGACGTTTAATGGGAAAAGATGACAGGGCCATGTTCCTGTCTAGCGGCTTGACAAATCTTCACTTAGCTTAACATTCCCAGAGCCAGAGGGCATCGGCAGAGTTAAGAACACACAGAGGAGGCTCCCAGTCTGTGTCTGGCAGGACTGAGAAGGCTTCCAGTCCTGCCTGTTTCTGGAGAGGGCAGCTGCTCATGTCACAGCTGCTGACAGGCATGGTGAAAAGCAAGTCTCATGCTAACGATGTGACATCATTATTATACATAAGTTAGTAATCAAAATTCATTTTTCACGGTACTCTTTGCGTCATAGTTTATGCTACTCAAGCTTTTAGCACAAATTACAATAGTGCTGTATTTTAAAATTCATTAATTATGGGAGGTGAACATTACCTTGAATCTGGTGATACAATTAATATCACAATACATAGGTCACAAAATATATACAAAATGAGCTCTTGCAAGATGCTACTGTTTCTTGTGAGCGGAAATGTAAAGAGCACAGTTTTCACAAGCTAACTAGCCCAACTGAGAAATGAATGAATGAGAATGAAAAGTGTGGCGTACGATTAGAGCGTCTGGAGCCAGACAGGATACAAGTGAATGTTGGTGTGTTTTGGCCACACAATAAAGTGTGACTCTTGAATAACAGTTTGAAGTGTTGTTGGAATAGCCCCGCACTGTGACAGCGAGGGTCAGAATAAAAGGGAGTTATACCTCGTAGGAAACGCTTCTCTTCGCCCCTTTACCACGGTCCGGGGGCTCACATGAAGGGTGTAACACAAGCAATGGAGAATGCGAAAGTATGAGACTGCAGGGAGAGACGTGTGTGAAAATGCACATCACAACGGGCGCAGCAAGAAGACGTAATGTGACGCACAACACCACGTCCCCACCTCACCTAATCCCCCACTCCCCACATTGACCTCCCTCATCTGGGCTTTACAACCCTGCTCAGGAACCACCTGTCCCAACTGTGCCCAAGAACAAGCAGCCCAGTTGCCGCGGTCACACACCTAAAGCCCGGACCTAATCGCATTCTGGGCCTTTAACCGGGCTTTACGTTGTGATTGTGACCGCAGCCAAAGAGCAGGGCATTTTGGCCCAAAATAAATGTGTAAAATATATTTTCTATTGTAATATGTTAATTTTAATACTTTCCAACACTCCAACGAAATTCAACTCTGCATTGTACTGTGCTCCAATATGTTGGCTCTAATGCATTTTTAATGAGAGAAAACAAAGTGGTTGGAATGACAGTATACCATTAACTTAGAAACCATCAAGGTTTAAATAGCACAATGGAAGGCTTATTTTAATCGTTTATCAAGACAAAGTTATTCTTAATTTCACTCTCTACAGCAAATATCTCTATATCTCTCCAACAGTGATAGGAGACGATAGTTGACCACTAAAACAGCAGCAGGTCAGAATAGGATACATTCCTTAGTGAACTGATTAAAGGCATGCAGCAGAGACAGGAGCAGGATAAAAATACCCGTCGGTGCAGGGTCTCGGGGGGAGGGGAGTGAGATGAGGTGATGCGTGTGGGGATGACACCATTTGCCTGCTCCGCTCTGTGCTTAAGCTGCCACACTGACCCGGACAGTGACACCAGAGCCTGAGGGTATGAGCTGCACACTGCATCTATGAGGAGTCAGCCCCAAAAACACCTTCAGACAGCTTGTTTTAAACTGACACAAGCTTTATGAAGCCACAAGGGAAATTACTTTAACACAATGCCAAACATGACTGGATTCTGTATGGTTTGTCAGTACAATGCCATTTTTAAAACCAAAATGTGCCAGAAAATCCTATTTGGACAGTATGGCTCTAAAATTCTCAACCAATGAAAGGATAGTAAAATCAGTAAACTACAAATATAATGCACTGCATGCTACGTGACTAGAACGATATTTATTGAATGTAAGCCATTGATATTTAGGGCCGTGCCACTGCCACTGCCAGCAAATGTTAATATTTAGACCAATTTCTCACTAATCCATTAGTCTTTATCTTTTATAGATGAAATGTTATGGCTCCAGTCACTCTGCAGCACTGTAAAAGCAGACCAACAGGAAGTTAAGGTCAAAACTATCAAGTTCAAATACACGTCTCAGTTTACACGATTATGTGAAAATCTAACACAACTGCTTTTCTCTTGCCATAAAACTCTTCTGTAGCGACTCATGTCACTTCATTTGATTCAGAAACAGCAGCTTTCTTTCTGCTGCATTACGGCCTGTAAACAATCCTAATGTTTCAAAACACAAACAGGTTACTTAATCTCTCAAGGTCACACAGACAATGTCAGAAATGGCATTTGCTGCATATTTTTCTCACAGACCAAACTAGAAAAGCACAAATGCATTGCTTTTTCAATCCCAATACTTTTAGTTATCTTTAGCGGTCGATTATGATATCATCTGATACTAGTTAAATGAATAAAAATGTATTTTTTTCCCATAAAATCAAATAGCAGAAAAAACATGTCAGAGTACAGACTGATTCTCAATACAACACATTTCTAATGTCGGCACTGAAATAAACCATGATGGTATTGGTGCCTTCCTGGACAAAGTGTCGGTTTACCTTGAGCCAACATGCTGAACTCCAGAAAGAGAGCGATGTGGTAGAGTTCCATGGCCTCCTCTGTGCGGGTGCTGGCCCCGCGGCCCCCTGACACCAACGCCTGCACCTCGCCCAGGCTCCCTGTGGACGGGCTCCCTCGCAGCACCAGCCCCAGCTCCACTGCGTCCGTGTACATGCAGTGCAGGATGACATGCACGTACTTCCGAGGGATGATGGATTCATCCAGGACGATGCGAGTGGGGGTGTGCAGTGTGCGTTCGGTCATCTCCTCTCCTGTCCGGATACGCCTCTGTAACAGGTTTCTGAAGAACGGAGAGCGTGCTGAGAGAATGGCCTTATGGGCCCTCAGGTCCTCTTCGGGGGTCCCAGGGGCCACAGTTCCACCTGGACCTGCAGTGGGGGGGCAGGCTACAGCCCCTCTCTCAGCACAGGCCTCCACCATCTCCGAGTCCGAGGAGAAGCTGAGCAGAGCGTCATAGTAGCACATGTGGTCGAACAAGCCCTTCATGTCGGCCTCCAGGGAGTTAGGAGTCCCGAACTCTTCACTGAGCTGCACCAGGACGTCCACGTTTTGGAGGCGGCTGTCTTCTGCTGCCCCCATACCAAAGTCCCCTGTGTAGAGGTACTGCAGTAAGGCTGAGAACATGGGCACGTCGATGCCTGCTGTGTCTACATCCATGAGAACCTCTGCTCCATAGCCCGGAGCTGATGTCAGCAGGGACTTAAAGAAGGGGCAGCGCACAGCCAGGACTGCCCTGTGTGCTGGGAAGCATGTGCCGTGAAAGATGAGGTCTACATCTGTGCAGTACTTGTGCTGGTACAATGCTGCCAGGTCCCTCTGTAGATTGGGGGCATCAGCACGGGCTAGACTGGCCTGAAAGCTGAGCTCCTTAAGTGCAGCGGTGCCCTCGTACTCCTCCACCAGGGCGTTTGTGTCACGGACGTCCCATCCGGACAGCAGCTCCCGCATCTGTCGAGCGTGGTCTGCTGAGCGGCTGGACTTCCTGCGCTTGATGAACCTACGCTTGAGAGTGGCCAGCCCCAGACTCTTCTTCTTCCTGTCGGCCGGCCGCTCATGGCCGTGTTCCAGGCTGTACAACTTTGACTCCCAGCCATAGCCCTGGTGAGAGTATGACGATGTCCCTGAAACAACAAACCACACCAGGTTAACATCTAGTGTGATACAGCATCTTCAACACAGCTCCAGAATCAGAGGAGACATGAGTCTCACTGCGGCTTCAAAAAAAAACAATCCTAGCACAGCAGAAGTCTTTGGAGTAAGTTCAATGGAACAAAACAAAAAAATCAAAGCAGGCACAATCCTTTTATATCTTTTATATAGGAGCCAAAGGCTTGCCACAAGGCCATATGAAACCCAATTAGCCCATTAGCCAGAGGACATTGTCATTGTGTGAACCTCAGCCCACTCACATCTTTGGGTGCAGTCAATTACAGTGAACACTTGTGTTTGGCATCAGACACAGGGCTCAGACGTCAGAGCGCACTGTGCCAAGGAGATCCTCTCTCTGAGCCTGCACTTCTGTGACATCCATCAGCCTGACCCACATAGTGATCTAATCTGCAAGCTGAGGAGAGGTCGCACCGGTGGAGTGTTTATGAGTATTCCTTATAGCAATACATGTAATCACCTTCAGTTTGTCATTAACCTGAAAGAGCAGAGCCACTTGAAAATGATGTGTGCAATAAAAAAGGAGATACTTGCCTATGAAAGTCTGCTGTGGCTGTGAACTTCCTCCTATGCGCGGGGAACAGGAGTGTGAATAGCTGGACCCATTGGCACCCATCCTCCGCTCTTCATGTGCTGTACGGGGGTCGCCCCACTGGCCGAGTCATTCTGCTCAGACTTGACTCCTCTCTGTGGGTCCAAGGTAGAGACTCAGGGGCCCGGGCAAAGCAGGACGTCCCTGCAAACACATCAAGGCAGACACAGTTGAAGAGAATGACAACTCAAAGAGTCAGAATTTTATTATATCCTATTTTGACTCTGCCCAGGATTGGGTCCCTGCGTGGCCTCATGAGAGTGTGAAGAAGAGCTGTAATAATTAAACCAACGAATGACCTTTATCCAATAATCGAGAAATATTTTATGAAATCATTCACCAGCAACTTCTCAGACTTGAAACATGAATATATGCAGAGATATGGCTTAAGCAGAGCAGCAATTACATCTGTTAAGCAAAAAAATATATCTATTAAGATTTCCTCTGGTAGCACAATATGGGTCAATGCCAATATTAGATTAATTCATCATCAAAATCATGCCACGACTGAAGAACTGACCTGTATGGAATGCCCCTTTTCACCTAATAAAAACTAAAAATCATGAACTGTAAGCACCAGTGAGGCTGTGTAATTCCGGCGTGCGCTTGCCCATGAACCCCGTGTGCAGACACAGAAGTCTCAAGCCTTCTGGAGGTTTCGCTTTTCAAACACACTAGATACTTGAAATGAGAATTTTCATTTCTTCCCGTTTCCAGACATTTACTTCTACCTTAATCAGACACTTTTACCACGTCCACTTTCACATCCCCATGCAGCGGATCAAGGGGATTTTTTGGACCAGAGCAGCAGGATCAGCGCACAAATTCAAACACCATCGGAAAATTTAAGTATATAGAAGCAACCATAGCTTGAACCCCTTTAGAGAATAGGCAGACATATACAAAAGTAACAAGCTTCAGTATTGAAATAGGATACCCAGGTGAAACTCTGAAAATAAGAATATCTCTCAAAAGTCCACATTTATTACGAGAAACAAATGCATGATGGATGCAAAACACGAAAAAGTGAGATATCAAGCATTTGTTATAATATTGATCTCGCTTGCAGCTGTAACAAAAATAAATCTTGATATCCAGAGTATTTTGATTCAAACCATAATCATCACAAATCACTGTGCATGTAGAGAGTACTGTATTGTATTCCAATGTCCTGGGCTTCACCTGTCGCAGTAATAACAGAGCTCCTGACCTCCATTAATAGACACAGCTATTGCTCAGTCACAAGGCCAGACCGAATTTAACAAATAATCAGTTTCAAATCAAAATACAAATTATTTCAAAGTAAATAACTAATAACTGACTAATATAAATGCATAGTAGAACTAATACAAAAATGCAACTTCTTTAAATTCCTTGCCTGATCCTGCAATGTTACAAGACTCTCCCTCTGTTCAAAAGTCCATTTATTGGATTCATTTCCCAAGAAGACATCACAGAGATCTGTTTGGAGTGACTGTCTCCATCTGAAGAATGCATGTTCAGTCTTGTATCTGTAATCTCCAAGTGTGCGGACTGTGAGGTTGACGCAGATTTCCTCTGCTTGGCCCTCAGGAAACACCCACTGGTAGGGGACAGTAAATCTAAGGCAGATGTAACTGTGGGGCTTGGCTATTTGGCAAACCTTTCCACAAAGACAACAGTATAATCATGATATTCCCAGAGGCGGCTAAACAGTATTTTTTTAAACAATATTTCTCTATTATTGTCATATCTGTCGACTGCTTCCACTATTTTCTCTCATTATTGAAGATTGCAGAGTCCATTCAGCCTTTGTGTCGGGCTGCCTTCCCACAAATGGAGGGGATAGGCTCGCTCTAGGTATCTAACAAGTTAACCAACGTCTAATTAAGAGAATCAAGAACAAACTGTGCTTATTTCTAATGCAACTCAGCTGTATTTAGTGCGCAATCTCAAAATACAATCTCAACCAATCTCTTTTCTGTCAAACCAACCAACCCGTATCAAAACATACTGATGAATGTGACCATACAAGTTAATCTATCAACATGCATTTCCAACTAATTCATGTCTTGTACAAACAATAGTGCTTCTTTATTAATTAATCAACGTTGGTTTCTGTAATGCATTGGATGTGAGACGGACGAGGGAATTATTATGACAAAAGACAGGCTTTTTTCTAGGGCACAGGTGAAATTAAAGTAGGACAGCTATAACGGCGCAACACGCAGCCATTTTGAAAGAATTGTTTTTGATCTGGAGGCGCAGCAAGGTGTGTAACATATCCTGCCAATCCGACACCGCCGAAAAAGATCATCAATTATTGAGCTTACAAGGCGGCTCAGACGAATGATAAAAAGATGGAAAATTAAATGTTGAATTAGGTGTTGGCAAGAACCAGCTTTGACAACCTCATCCCCCCCCCTCAATATACTGATTACATTTGAATTATTATCCATCTTTATTGAGGACACATTACGATACGGTCAAATTTATTCTAATTGTTGTACAAACAGAAGCACAAAGCTGAGAAGATGTTTCTACAATCAACAAAATGCACCAAAAAGGTTGTATGCTTTTCTAAAACGACTGAGCATGAGGTCTCGAGCCAGAAGTCTTTGCTTTACTGAAATCTCACCGGATCTTATCCATAAACTCTAAAAAAGATCCCCAAATAATTCTGCTACTCGCTGCTGAAATCCTCTTCCGTGTTTACGATGACGAACTATAAAATCAGCGTTGGAAGTGTGTGGACTGGATTTTTTTCATTGTGACCTTGGGGATACTTTTTCTTTTGATGCCAGTTGCGATTTCTAGAGATTCTTCCACGACTCTGCATTAGTAGTAGTAGTAGTAAGTAGTAATCTTTATTTATATTGAGAATGAGGAGTTGACGTCACGGCACAGAGTCCCCCCTCCCCATCCCCCCTTTGCCGACATATTGGCTGCGCACCGGTGGCGGCAGTACAGTTTGTTTACGTGTGTTGTGAACGCGGTAGTAGCGGAGGTTCTTGCTATTCCGCACTGTTTTATCATGCCTGGAAATAACTGCTGCGTTAAAAACTGCTCCAATACCTCCCACGATGGATATGGAAAACCTAGTAACAACGGGATACAGTTTTTTAGGTTACCGAAATGGAAAAAGCATCAAGGGGAGCAATTCTCTGACCTGACAAGGAGACGTCGGATTGCTTGGTTGGCTGCAATTAGAAGAAAGGACCTTACTTTCGATCACACACTCCTGTCGACGAGAGTGTGTTCTCTGCATTTTCACTCTGGTACGTTCTCTAAAAATGTATTTATGTAGTTGTCTCTTAAAGCTAGGAAGTGTAGGTTAGCATATGTTATTATGGTTTCTGTAGTGCCTTTGTCTCTGTGTCTTTGTTACCCTCTCAGGCTGTTTCTTACTTAGCACGTGTTCTGCGAGGTCTTTGCCAGTGTAAAGCATAGATTACATAGATTGTACACATAATCTAATTATTCTGTTGTACATAAACCTTCATATGACATTATGAGGTGACCTAAAAAGTACTTGAGATGCTGTTCATGACATAGTTGCCAGTTTAAAGCATTGATTACATAGATTGTGCAAATTATTATATTAATTATATGTTGTTATTATTCTCGTGTAGGTAAACCAGCATATGAGATGTTGGAGAACCACCCTGACTGGACACCATCCCTGTTGTTAGGCCACAATGATGTACAAAAAACAGATGAAGCGAGATATCAGCGGCAAGTAAGGCGCAGGTCCCTGCCACTGGAGCGGCAGCCACCTCCAGCCCAACACCAGCCGCAGGCGCCGCCGCCTCCAGCCCTAGACCAGCTGCAGCCGCCACCAGCCCTAGACCAGCTGCAGCCGCCACCAGCCCTAGACCAGCCGCAGGCGCCGCCGCCACCAGCCCTAGACCAGCCGCAGGCGCCGCCGCCACCAGCCCTAGACCAGCCGCAGGCGCCGCCGCCACCAGCCCTAGACCAGCCGCAGGCGCCGCCGCCGCCAGCCCTAGACCAGCCGCAGGCGCCGCCGCCGCCAGCCCTAGACCAGCCGCCAGCTGACCCGGACATGGAATGTGGACTCTGCACATCTAGACGAGATGTTATCAACAATCTTCTTGAAGAAAACAGACAGCTGAAGCGTGAGCTTGATACGTACCGGATGAATGAGAACTTTCTGAGTGGTGATGATAACACAGTGAAGTATTACACGGGGCTTCCAAACTTTGCATTGTTCCAGACACTTCTACTCTACCTAACTCCAGATCTGCCTCAAGGTAGAATGAAGAAGCTCTCACCCTTCCAGCTTGTCCTATTGACTTTAATGCGCCTCAGACTGGACCTTCCAATACAGCACCTCAGCCATCTGTTTAGAGTACATAGGACAACAGTCGCCGATGCCTTTCACCATACCCTTGGTGTGATGTACGCACAGCTGTGTCCATTGGTGCACTGGCCAAGTAGGGAATGCTTATTGACCAGTATGCCACACCAGTTTGTGGAGTCATTTGGGAACAATGTGGCTGCCATTGTGGACTGCTTCGAGGTGTTCATCGAGAAACCTTCCAATGTACTAGCAAGGGCACAGACTTTTTCTCAATAGGGCACTGTCCGGTTTCCGAAATGTGCTAAAAATAGTTCCAATGACTGCGCATGCGCGCATGTTTCGGACAAACTCTGTCCGACTCCGTTGAGTACTACTGTGTTCTCCACATAAGCGTGTGTATTTATTTGGGCTAAATCATTGAATCATGGTGACAACAAAACACTGCAGTTATGGTGCTTGTGGGAGCGATTTCAGATACTCTGAAAAGGACTATGAAAGCAGTAACATTCAACCTGTTCGTTAAACCACACCATCGAACCAGACCAGGACCAGACCAGGACCAGACCAGGACAAGTGCAAGAGGTGGGTGCTTGTGGTCAGCAGAATTTCTCTCATGAAAATGTTAAAAAGGACATGTTTTTTCAAAACACTTCGCTGGACCAACTGTGGAGCCTCCAGATCCAGTCCTAGCTACGTTTAGCTGGGACTGGACCTGGACCGCTGT